CTGACCTCCCTTGAGGTTACTAATCCTTTACAAATTCAGTCCAAATGATTAAAATATTATTTTAGAGAGTGAAATTATAATTTTGTACCTGATTTGTCCTTTGTGCCACATGTCCAATGAATGACAAAGTATTACAAATTAATTAACAATTAATAAACTTTAACGAGCGTAGTTTATAGGCAAATACGTATTGCCTATTTAAAGTACCAGCTCTTTACATGAATTTTATTTTCAAACATTTACTTTATCACAAATATTTATTCTCAAATACAGATTTGTATTTACTCTCAAATATTTAATTTTTGTTAAATACAAAACCTACCAGTTTTTCTTCCGTAGAAATATTAATATAACATTTTTTCAATTTTCAGTTACAAATATTTATGTATTTAACATAAATTAAATGATTCAGAATAAAATACTCATAAAGAGCTAATACTTTACTCATGTAATGGATGAAAGCCATAAAAAATTAACATTTTATAGGCCATTTTTTTTAAATTTTAATTTATATTAAATAGATAACCTATCGATTTTCTTTTCACAAGAATATTATTGTAACACCTTTTAATTTTTAATTACAAATATTGATATATTTATTGTAAATTAAATATTTAAAAATAAAATACATGTAAAGAGCCGGTACTTTAAATAAGTTATGCGTATTTGCCTATAAACTATACTCCTTACTTAAATCAATAAACTACACTCCTTAACTTAAATCAATAAACTATACTCCTTACTTTAAATAGTGTAGTTTATAGGTAAATACGCATATCCTATTTAAAGTATCGACTATTTACAGATATTTTATTTTCAAATATTTAATTTATGATAAATATATTAACATTTGTAATTAAAAATTAAAAACTATTAAAGTAATGTTCTTGCAAAAAAAAAATCAGTAGGTTATCTATTTAATATAAATTAAATATTTTTTAAAAAATAAATGGCCTCATAAACTATTAATTTTTTATGACTTTCATCCATTACATGAGTAAAGTATTGGCTCTTTATGGATATTTTATCCTGAATCATTTAATTTATGTTAAATACATAAATATTTATAACTAAAATTGAAAAAATGTTATATTAATATTTCTACGGAAAAAAAACTGGTAGGTTTTGTGTTTAACAAAAATTAAATATTTGAGAGTAAATACAAATATGTATTTGAGAATAAATATTTGTGATAAAGTAAATGTTTGAAAATAAAATTCATGTAAAGAGCTGGTACTTTAAATAGGCAATACGTATTTGCCTATAAACTACGCTCGTTAAAGTTTATTAATTGTTAATTAATTTGTAATACTTTGTCATTCATTGGATATACGGCACAAAGGACAAATCAGGTACAAAATTCTAATTTTACTCTCTAAAATAATATTTTAATCATTTGGACTGAATTTGTAAAGGATTAGTAACCTCAGGGGAGGTCAGTGTAATTGTTCAAACCACAGGGGAGGTTTCTGAAATTATCCCTATTTTTAACTGCTAAAGTTGTTCAAAAAGTGGAATACTTTGATAAAAAAATCCTCCCCTGAAGTTTCTAGTAATATCATTTAGCACCCCTATAGTTCTAAAAGTATCATCTACCTTCCCCACAAGTGAAATGTGACAAAAATTCAGGAATACAATAATCTTGTTCTTCTCCACAAGACCCTCAACGGACTTTTTCTCAATTCCCTGTAGCACTAAATTAACTCCGGCAAGAACTAAAAATAGCCTTCATCTTGAGTTGTCATCCGAAAAATTGATGAAAGAGTTTTTGGCAACTTCAAAATACAATAATAAGGCAAAAATAAATATAACATACGAGAATCATGTTGTTTGGCCAATTGACCTATGCCACAAGTGAAAGAGCAGCAAGTTCACTATAAAGAAGAGTACAAAATCATAAGTTTTAAAGTACTAAATACTAAAAATTCAAAAAAGCCTAGATCTAACAAAAGGCTCAACAAGCCCAAATTAGCTTCTAACTAGCTCTTTCGGTTGTCAATTCCCAAAAAATCTGTTTCTTAAATTGGGGCCTAGGGCCTCCCGAGTCTCTCTTGATACACTAACTAACGGTCCAAGCTTGCTATTAGTATCTTTTCACAAGAAAGTCCAACAAAGAGTTTGGTTAGTGGAGACTTGCTAGCAATAATATCTTTTCTGTTGCATTTTTAGACATCTTAAGCTGGACGTTCAGTCCTAGTAGAGTTTGGATTTGGTTTGGTCAATTAGCTGTATTTTTTTGTTGAGGGTAGAAGACTAGAAGAGTTGTCCAAATTAGCTAGAGGAAAAAGGGCAAAAGAAAGCGAAACCAAGAGATGAAGAAATAGGATAGATGACAACTTGAATTTTCTTGTTCTTTTCCTCTATTCCAAAAGGAATATTCAAATATGCCAATATAGTTGAGGGTTAAATAGTTAATTTGGTGGTTACTGCTCGTGGGAGTATTATGTCTAACCCAAAAAAAAGGGTAAAAGGAAAAAAACCTGTGTAACAAGTAGGCATAACCTCGTTGATTCTCAGCTAGAACAATCCTATTACTTCTAAGATTGGATAATCTCTCTGTTTGCCTACAAATTTTTAAGTGTTTTTAAAAACAATAAAGTTTTTACAAAAAAGGAGCAAATGGACGGTTAAGTGTAGATATCCTACATTTATATCAACAGGAAAAATATAAAACTAAAAAAAAAGAATTTAACCAGACCAATTAACTAATAATTTTTATAAATATATATAAATTGTTTGCTCTATATTTTCTTAGTTTTCTTGTTTTTATTAATACTCATTCTCAGTTAGATGCTAGATGCTTATATAAGCATTAAGCATACTCAGAGATATGGCAAAAGAAAAACTTCCATAAAAACTCCTTTAGATTTTCACTTAGAATGTGCCAAATTAAATGATCATCCCAACACAGCAAATTTGGCAATTGAAATACAAATTTTATTTTTTTATTTTAAATTCACAAATAAATGAAAGAGATAATAGGAAAGAAAAGGTCACGTTGAGTGCCTAAATCTCTGAAAAATGTAAGGGCGTCTTTAGTTTTGGATTTCCTTTAACAAAAAATAAATAAAAGAATGAAAACTTTTTTGTACAAAATACCAATGTTTTGCTCGAAATCAATTGCTTTTCTATAAAGAAATTTATGTCAACAACACTCTATTACTAAATATAACCTCAAGGTTAATGTTTTCGCTATCTTTTGTTTAGTTCTACAAAGTTTAAGCAATTAGAAAATTGAGCTCTTCCTAAAGGCATGAGTTTAATTTCTTTATTATGCCTTCACAGTATGGGGCTCCAGGAATCACATTACTTGGTGTAATTGGGTTCCAAGGTAGCCAGTTGATTTTGAGTTCTCACGTTGATCTAGCATGGCAAGAAATTTCCTTCTAAATGTAGCTTCAGTAAACTTCTTAAATCCATCCACAAGAACTCATTTTTGATAAATGATAATTATGCAAAATTTGAATTTGAAATTTAACTTTTGTATATGTATCATAGATCTAACAATGATAGTTTATACACTGTCAGTATATATAAGATTTACTCTTTTGTATAATATTTAATTTTAATCTCTTTCCTCAAGTATTTCCTTCATTCACAATTTTATTCATTAAAAGTTTTTAGATATTCTTGTTTAGTTTCCAAAAGTTCCTCCAGGATAGTTTCCTTAATATCACAACAATTAATCGTGTTGAACAAGAAATTGATATGCTAATCTTCTTTAGTTTCCAAAAGCACTGTCAAAGAAATTTGTTAAACTTCTTTCCGAAAATTTTTTTTTTTTTTGCACTATTGCTCAAGGAAACTAAGGAAATCTGCTTACTTGCTCACAATTAATTGATTGCCAGAGAAATTTCTAAAACTTCTTTACAAACAATAATTTCTTTCCAACTATTGCTCAAGAAAGTTAACAAAGTCTGAGTTTAATATATTTTATATTTCTAAAGTAAAAACCCATTCTTGCTGTTACATTGAATTACATAAATAACCACAATTATCATAAATAAAGCAAAGCTAAAAAAACAACATTGCATACCGAGGGTATTATCGGAATATGAGATCTAATGCACTAATCCGCTAATTTAAACTCTTGCTCTTAATATCTTATCTTACATATATATAAAAAGCTAAGACTTCTTCTCCCAGGTTCTACCACGTGGCTGGATGAGGAGAGGGAGGAAAATTTTCTTCCGTTTATGCCCTGAGAATATTGAGTAGTTCTCCAAACAGTGTATCACTGTTGAGGTCATTTTTGTCTTTTCTCATAAAATTACTATCTTGCCCAAATAAAAATAACTAGCCCCAGGTTCAACCACGTGGCTGGATGAGGAGAGGGAGGAAAATTTTCTTCTGTTTATGCCCTGAGAATATTGAGTAGTTCTCCAAACAGTGTATCACTGTTGAGGTCATTTTTGTCTTTTCTCATGAAATTACTATCTTGCCCAAATAAAAATAACTAGCCCCAAAACAGTACCTAACTATTGAGGGTTATTTCTGACTTTTTGCGAATAATCTTTTGCGTTACTTCTCAGTGTTTCCCGTCTTTTCCCCTCTTTTCCTAGACCCAAGAAAGCGGTGGTTGGCATTAGCTCTGTTCTCCACTTCTTCTTTGTCTCCATTATGAAAGACAAGAAGCCAAAAAGTCAAACAACTTTAGCACCGATGGCAGGAAAGCAAAACACTCCATTTGCACTTCATTTTACAACTTTAGCCCATCATCTTTTGTTTTATTCTTCCTTTCTTTCTCAGTCTTTTGCTCTCTTTCTCAATCTTTCCTATCCCTTCTTCTCTTTAGTCTTTTCTCAGCGAAAGAAACCGGTAGTTGCTGCTTCTTTTTTGTATCCATTGTCAAAGACAAGAAGTAAAAAAGTCAAATAAAAAATGGAAGCTGACCCATATGGCAGCAAGACAAAACAGTCCCTTTCTACTTCCTTTTAGCCCATCATCTTTTGTTTTCTTCTTCCTTTCTTTCTCTCTGTTTCCCGTTTCTTTATTTCTCCTTTCTTTTCTTGCTGGTTGAACGAAGAAAAGTACAACTTCAATTCTTCCATCAGTAGCCAATTGTTTAGAAGTGTTTTTGACTTTTTCCCTAGCATTCTTGCCCTCTCTTTCCCGTTGTTTCTGCTTCGTTTTCTTTTTGCTGCAGAAGAAGCATGTTTGCATATTTCATTTTGTTTTCATGTTCAGTTCTACTTTTTCTCCTTCGTCCCTCCCTCTCTGTTTCCATTCCTTTGTTTCTCTTTTGTTTTCTTCCTGGTTCGGACAAACAAAAGTACCAACAGATCTGCTCCAACACCTGGTCAATAATTTTTCCCCAAATTATGGCTGCTCATCCATATCCCAATCGTGGTATTGTTCCACAAAGAGTCAATTGTGGCTGCCCATGCATATCCCAACCATGCGATTATTCCACAAAGAGTCAGGTATGAGGTATGATTTCTACCTATTACTAGAGATATAGGTTTGTCCTTTTGCCTTCCTTTTCATTTGCCAGTTCACAAATTATCGAGAGTGAGAAGAAAAATCTCTAACAACTCATCAATTTTGTGTTGTTATCTATTGTCAGTGAAAGAAAAATTCCTAACAACTGATAGAGTTTGTGTCTTTATATACATCAGGAACACAAACACTGCTCACAAAAAAAATCAACGGTTCTACCTCCTTTTGCTCTGCAACATTTCCAAGTAAAGGTAACTATTCATATTCTGTGCCTAATATTTTTCCGAACGAGTCTTGAACAGATTGGAAAATCTATATACTTTCTATTTTGGTTGCCAAATTTCTTCAAGGGTTTAATTGCACTTTGAAAGAATTGGTGCAGAAGAGCTTCTGATTTAACGTTCACAGATTTCAGTTCTAAGTTCGTTTGCTTTCAGTTATTACTTGTCGACTGAATTTTTTTCCCTTACTTTTGTTGTTATCAGTTTTAAGTTCCCTTGCGAGTATCAGGTCCACAGATTGTAAGTTCTTCTATTTTTTTCCTCCAATTCAACGAATGTGGTATTTTTGAATGGTGGATAGGATGGGATAGAAGGTTGTGTAGATGAAATGGATTTTGGTTGTTGATAGAGCAGAGGAATAGTCTGATACTTGGTAATTACTTGTATGCATGTTTTTGGGGTCTAAAGTCGTGGATTTGCAAGTTGGACACGACAGTGAGTGAGACGGACGGAAGTTGTGGAATAGGCGGACATGCATAATCATATATATATATGCAAATTGGACTTTGGCTTTCTATGTACGTAATATATATTTGGCTTTCTAACTTCCTACACATAAAAAATGGTGAAATTGCAGCATGAAGTGACTATACCTGTCTAAACAAAAGAGCAAACAGACCACAAATATGTGAGCCAAGATTCTTTAATATGTATAAAATTTCCATTCAAAAGTATTGCAATAACACTTGTAGATAGGAAATGGAGAGAGGTGGCAGTTGGAATAAATATTGTGTCATTTTATGAATTTTTAATTTTGTCCTTAAAAATTAATTTTTACTCTTCTAATCAGATTTGCTACCATAATCTCCCATAAATAACTCCCTTAAATATTATAACTACCAAATAAACTATAGCTGTTTTTAAAGAAAAAGTTACTAATAAATTGCAAATTTTTTTTGAAGATTTTATATAAAATTTAATTTTGTAAAAACAAAATTAACATATTCATAAACATTAATAATTATTTCTAAACTGCACGTACATTGGGTGTGCCCTTAACATTAGTCTATATAATATATATAAAGGGCGATTTAGTGTAAACATTATTTGTCACTCTTTGAACTTTCGATTTTACTCTTATAGAACAAAACATGTTTTACTTTAATTATTTACCTTAAACATACCTAATACTAACCATTGTGACTATCAATATAACAATTATTATTTGAAAGAAATTTAAGAGATTAATTATTATTTTGGCAATGAAAAATTCATATGAAATTTACTTACCATAAATATTATACATCTATTTATTGAACACACATTGAGTGTGCAAAAAGCACTAATTTTTTTTATTGTTTTACGTTCTCTTTGTTAAAGGAAACAAGAATCTAATTACTGCTAATACTTAATAGCTTTTTGACTTTGGGTGTCTAACCTGAGTTGATGGATGGATGGACCGACCGAGAAGAAGAAGAAGGATGATGATAACTAAAAACACACTAATAAAACATTGCAAGTAGGCAAACAAATCGATAGGTATACTGATGGACACGGACGCTCTTTGAAGTTGATTTTTCCAACTAAGAAAAGAGGCATAGACCAAAAAAGGGATTTTTTTTCCTTTTCTTTTGGGGGGAGGCCATTGTGTGTACGGCAGATTGAGTTCATCTCTTGTTCTTGTCGTTGTTCAGGTTCTAATATAATATTGGAAATCCTCAGATAGAAGCTTGAGGGTAGGTGTAGGTGGGTGGTATTTCTTAATATTTCAGCTGCTTTTCTCCTTAGCAGATTGATATTCATTTAAAGTGTGCCTAATTATATTTTTGCCTCTTTCTAATTTTTTCTCATCTAAGTATAGTTTAAACATATTGGATAATTTGTATAGTTTTACATTGATACCTTTCTTGTACATTTTATTTTGGTTGCCAACTTTGTTCAGGGGTTTAGTTACGATTTAAAAGAGTCGGTGCTAAAGAGGCTTTTGTTTGGGGTTGGCAGATTCGTATTAAGGAATTGCTTCAATTCAAGGTCATTCCTTCTATTCCTTCACTACATCTTACAATTTTCGTGCTTAAGTTTTGCTCTGCTTGACTACACTCTAGAGAATATCATAACTGAATCTCTATGCTTATACCATTTTTCTTTCTCAGATTTTGCCTTTTACTATTTAATCACTCTAATTTGTTGAATATGACGCTCTTAAACAATTAATCTCATGTTTGTATCTCTTGGTCAGCTGCTTGTATCTAACAGTTTGGATTTCATATATATAGAAGTTAGCTTTACTCTCTTCATTAGCTATCATTGTGCCTAAGTTTTGTTATATTTCGTCTATTACTCATAATTTTTTCAGTTGTAGGTTCATTTGGTCTCACTTATTAACTGAACGTATGCTTTATATGATTATGGTGAGGCTGGCTAATCAATAGATTAATATGTATTAGAAGCAAACGAGTATGATCAAGGAAGATCACCTACTTGCTGCAATCAAAGTTGCTGCTTCTATCAGGGGACACAACCTATCAGTAAGCTTTCAAGAACTACCATGAATTGCATTTGAGTTCAGTTTTATTCAACATTCGAATGAAGATTCTTATCTCATAAAGTACGCTCCAACCATTAGGATTTTATTAACAGTATTCTGTTTATTAAAAAAAAAATCCACAAGTCACAAAATTTTGACGAAATAGAAAGACACTTCCTTGCATGACTTAGTCCACATCAACTCCACTCTATAAGCATAAGACCAATATTTTGCATTCTGCATTTTGGCATATAAACTTATAGATATTTCTGCGATTTTACTTTTTTTATTCTTATTCATGCTCCTGGTCATGCTACTCTACAAATAAAGAGCTTCATATAATTGATTATTGTGGCCAGTCAATGAATGCAAAAGTGAAAAATGAAAAATGGGCTTCACAATGGGAATGTTTTAGGAATCTAGATGTTATACACAATCAATTTGGGCTTTCCATTTAATTTGGAAATAGTAGCAGCAGCAACCCACCTTGCTCTTCATTTTTCCTTTTAGGGAGTCCTCCTTGGTAAGTTTAATTTGCCCTTTTTTTTTGATGTTGTTAGCTTTTCTACATGACAATAGTAAACAAACAAATAGATTGGTATACCTATGCTCTCATCGTAGATATTAATCATATAGACACCAAAGCAGCGGTACATTTTCAATCTAAATTGATAACCAAATTGTTGATTTGTTAATGTGTATCTCATCTGCCTACTTGTCAAAGAAATCAACGGTAACCGTTAATCGAAAGAGAGAGATGAAATGGAAGCTCTTGAATGAGTTGTTCCACCCACAGTACTTTGTACAATAACAAATTTCATGTTAGTTGAAACCTCCAGTCCCTTTACAGACTTGCAATTAAAATCAACATAGCAGAACAGTCAATAGATTGTCGTCATTGTACAATGTTAAAAATGTGAAAGTTAATGAAGAAAGAGAAAATACGGGTAAATATTGTCTATCTCCTATGTTCAGCAAACATCCACTTTATGATTTTCTAACATCTCTTCTTCACATATTTAGCCTTAAGGTCAACGAAAAGACTGCAGCATGCTAGCATTATCTCATCTTAGTTCACTTTACCTTAACTTTGTTGGTAAATCCAGGGATCAGGAATTTGATAAAATGAAATTCAATGAATGAAAATTGACATGTCCCTTTTTGTGCTATATAAATTCTTATGTTCTAAATTATTGAATCTGGCATATACTGATTATCTATGGTTTACATTTCTAGCTGCATGGTTTTGTAAAGAAAGAGCAATTGGAGGATGCCCTCACTCACATGGACCTTCTGATCATTCCTGTTGGAGTTCATAGGAAACTAGCAATGACTAGAGATAACCTTTTTAATATCAATCCTGACATTGTTAGGGCTCTATGAATGAATTTCAAAGTGCTGTACGGAAGCTATTGTCTGCATGGTGCCATTTGGGGCTGCAATGAACGTCACATTTGTAAAGTTATGTACTATTGTTCTACGATTCAGTTAATTTTGTTTTGGTGTTGTTTAGGTATCTTTATTATCGATATCTGAAAATTCAAAGTCTAACATGCTTCAATTAGCCCAAGATTTGAATTTTTTTTGGTCATAATTGTTGTTCGAGCTGTACAAATTATTGTAAAACTGTGGAATTGTACGAGAGTGTGCATCTTTCAGTGTGAAAGAAATATTGTGTGCTGTGAGTTAATTAACTTGAGTTTATTGTGTTCTTCATTCATGTTTATTTTTCATATTGCATATGTGCTTATTTCTCCAGACTCTTCATGGTTTATGTGGAGCTATGCATGCACTTCATTATGGTCCAGAATGGCATAAGCTTTACATTCCTTCTTAAGGGCCTTTGTTGTCACTCAATATGAAAAATGATTGATTGATGTCTAAAATATGAGAGCAAAAATTAATATGTCTTCATGATAGAATTTTTAGTGAACTTTACCATTGTGGTCTCGCCCCTTAACCACCTCAATTACCAATTATTTTAATACTTCAGTTCTACGAGTTATTGATAGGTTGCGATTTTATCATTTATTTTATTATTAATTTCTCCTATTACCTGACCCAATTTGGATTAATTGTTAGTTTCTACTCACTTTTAGTATTTTACATATATTTCAGGGAGTAGAACGAAAATACCATAATAAGTGCCGATTTGACAGTTATCAGGAAAGAGTTCAAGTAGCAGGCATCCAGGGCATTTTTGGAACAAGGAGATACAAGTCCTTTTTGGTAATTCGCAGAGCGCAGCATTAAAAGGAGGAACGAAGGGCTGAAGTGGGGGTCTTCTTCTTCCTCTCCGGAAGGGGAGCCGCCGCACATTGGAGAGCTTTTCGTCTTGTAGCTTAGCCGTAGTTGTTGACTTTTCTTCTTAGTTTTTGTTAGCTAGTTTCTTTCTTACGTATGAAGATTGCTGAGAAGCTTAGCTTTTGTTTTTGATTCTGCCTATTCAATTTCTCTTCTCCGAATGTCGGACAAAAGCAAACACACTCAGTGGACTCTCGTAGCTTCCTTTCTTTATTGAATGCCCAGCTTCCCAATTGATGGCCGCAGCCTTTGCTTCAATTTCTTGTGGGTTTAGTTCATTAATTATGAACTAATTCTACAATTCTAGTCAAGGGACAACTGACGATTTGGTTCGACAACTACTGTGAGATCGAATCTGTTTTAATTATTTTCTTCATCTATTGGTATTTGTATGTTCCTTGATTTTAATTGCTATGGCCTTGTGTATGATTGATTAGTGCGCAATAATTAATTATTCATATAGGCTATTTTTGCTAAATAGGGGTAATTGAATCCGTAATTGTTCGTTATCTCTACCTCAGTAGCAACTGGCGTAATTGGGTTTATGTCAGGGGAGCATATGATCTAATTTAAACAAACCCTCGTAGCGTGTTTGTTGGTTAGGATTGGGCCTTTCTAATTATTAATGCAATCTAGAAATTAAATCCTACGGTCGTACTTAGGGTTGTTTTTGGGTTAGAGAAATAGCTAACGGTCGTACCTTAGCTATCGATAAATTAAGGAAGGGTTGGTTGTTTATCGCGTGCATGACAACTATAACCAATCTATTAATAAATGTTGGGATTATTTTTGCATCAATGATCAGTGCATGAACCATTTCTGAAGTATACCCTTGGCTAGAGTTTCTCTTAGTTATTTCTTTTAATTAATTATTTTCTGCAGTTAATTTATTTAGTTAGCATTTATTCCAAAACCCCCCATACTTTGGACTCTAAAAGAAACAATTACTCCCAGTCCCTGTGGATTCGACCCTACTCATCGCTATCTACAGAATTAACTTTAGTTTGAGCAGGTTTTATTATTGTACAGGTTCGGCACCTGTCAGTTATGCATTTGCATAGACACTAAATATAACTTGCCAAAAATTTACATGTTATTGTTTACAGAAATGAGAATACCAGCAAATTTTTCAATATTTTTGACACTATATATATTGGGCATTGGCTGTGCAAGGCACAACCAGAAAATCTCTAGTATTATAGATAAGTTGTACCTCTATAAGCATTTAATTAGAGCTACTCGCTGGCCACAATATTGTAGCGGGAAGACTCTGGCTATTTCTTGATTGATTTACAATAATATGATTCAAATTAGACAATTAGTTTGAAAACTTGAAAGCCATAAGCCAGCAATTGTAATTTAATTGCTGATGTGACTGCAAAAAGTGACCAATTTGGTCATTAAAAAAGAGACTAAATTGGCACACGCATGGCCCACCAATAAAGCACCAGATTCGGAGGAATCTTTGTTTGGCGCTACACTGAAGTTGCTGGGAAAGTTCTGAAGCACCATATCCTCTGTGAACAAGTTAGTGTCCTGCAATATTTAAACAACAAGTGGGGGGAAAAAAAGTCCAGCCTATTCTTTGTTGGCTATTGTTAGATGAGAAAGTTTTGGATCCTGAACTGATTTTATTGAGTAGCTGCTAAACCAGACAAAAATCTAATATCAGAGTGAAAAGAAGATATGATAATGGAGATCCCCTCCAGCAGTAACGCCGACTGCTTTGATTTTGCTTTATATCATTATCTGCAGTCGCATCACATCTCCTCCAGCACTAGCACTAGTTGCTTTGATCTTGCTTTGGATTTTCTAGCCGAGCCCATATTTCGCTGGGACTCTGATTACCTGAAGGAGAAGGTAAGATTAATGAAAACCTGTTTTCTGTATGTCAAAAAGTGTAGGAGGAGGAGGAACCACGAAGCGCTTTTGGAGCATGATTGCGAGGACAGGCGTAATATTATGTCTGAAAATTTGAGACGTAGTATTATTTGCTTCAGAATTCAAGATGTGGCTATCAGTATGATTCATGATCTTCAGCCTGCTTATTTTCAATATATTCATTCTGATTATCACTTAGATTTTTCCTTCATTCAAAGTGCGATTACCAGATCCGAGGAAAATATCAAAATGTTTCTTGAGACGGATGTCAATAAATCATGCGCCGCCATCTTCATCGACTATTACTCACCAGGAGATCCACGACTAGTTATGGATCTTATTATGTGCCTTTTAGAGACTCTGGATTGTGTTTTACGTGCTGGGGAGCTAAGGGATACAATTAGAAATAGGCTAAAACTCTTCAGGAATCTCATTGGCTTTGTGACAATGCAAGGTCTTGAATGTTCGCAACTGACAGATCTCTTGACTTACACTGTAGTTGCAGCTGGAAGCCTGATTTCTATATGTCAGTTTGACAGTGATGATGTACAAGTGGTCAATCGAATGGAATCTGAAATTTATCAGCTGATACAGGAGAAGATCAATCGTCTTGATCTCCAAGCCCGAGAAACTTTTGTCCATGTGCTGACAGCTTCAAAGAAACAACCGAGATCATCATATGATTTAGCCCTTCAGAAGAATGAGGATCCAGTGGTAGGCCAGTTTGTTGGTTCTCTTCGTGATTATCTTATGGATCTACTAGGATCTTATTCCAGTTTTCCGGTTCCAGTGAAGGATCAAATACTAAGACTCCATGAGGAAATAAGATGCCTGAGTATCCTTCTTAAACAAGAGGAGAAACTAGGTGATGAAATAAAGGATCTTATTGGAGCTGTGGTATCTGATGCAGGAATTTTGACCTTCTCCCTTTCTGTCAATGAAATCAAGGAAGGCTTGCCTGAGGAAACAGATCTTGGGGTGTTTCATTTGCACAAAGTTCTCAAATATATGGCAGCAGAGGTTGCACACAATTTTCCACTAAAATCACCATATTCATCATTTAATTATCCTAGACCCAATGAGTTGGGCTGTATGGATTTTTTCCTAGAAAATCTCAAGGAACTAGCAAGGTGTGATGAGGCTGATGATTCAATTGGTTTTCAACATCATAGAATCCAAGCGATCCAAAACGATCTCGTATTCTTAAGATCTTTCCTCGAAAATATCAAAGAGCAGCGCTATCAGAATGGAAAACTTCAAGCTTTCTGGAGTCATGTTATGGATGCTGCATACAAGGCAGAGTTACTGATTGACTTGGCACTTGTTGGTGATAAATGTGAAGATTCTTTGGATGCCGTTTCTAGACATATTAATCTTTTGAAGATTGAGGCCCCAGAGATCCATAATGGTCAAACCCAAAGAGTTAACAAGACTTCCATTCACATACCATCACAATTTACTGTCGCCATGCATGACGAAGATCTGGTGGGTCTTGACGACGAGGTGGAAACTATTACTCATCGGCTTACGAGAGGATCAAAGCAATTGGATGTTGTTCCCATTGTGGGTATGCCTGGCCTTGGGAAGACCACATTAGCCCACAAAGTTTATACTGCTCCTTCAGTTAGGTCACATTTCCATGTTCGTCGTTGGTGTCGTGTTTCTCAAACGTGTAGCAAACACAGTTTGTTAGTTCAACTTTTGTGTAGTAGTTCTTCTAAGAGTTCTGATGAATATCTTGAGATGGATGAAAATGATTTGACTAACAAGCTAAGGCAGGTTTTGCTGAGAAGTAGGTATCTCCTTTTTTTGGATGACTTGTGGGACGTTGAGGCATGGAATTTGTTGGAAAAATCACTGCCGAATGATGCCAATGGAAGCAGGATTCTCTTCACTAGTAGATACCAACATTTATCTTTGCATTTCAAACCTAATAGCGAGCCTCACTATCTCCGCCATCTTACTGACAAAGAGAGTTGGACATTGCTGCGGAGAAAGCTATTTGGCACGGAAGATTGTCCTGCAGCACTAAGTGAAGTTGGATCTCAAATAGCAAAACTTTGTCGAGGCTTACCCCTCGCAGTTGTCCTTGTTGCTGGAATTCTTGCTACTACTGCAAAAGATAGTTGGAATGAAGTTGCAAAAAGTCTAAGTTCTATTGTCCTTGGGGATGAATACTGCATGAAGACACTTGAGCTGAGTTATAGTCATTTACCAGATTATTTGAAGCCATGCCTTCCGTATTTTGCTGCATTTCAAGAAGATGAGGTTATTAATGTGCGAAGGTTGTTACGGCTTTGGATCTCTGAAAGATTCGTGCAACAGGCAGAAGGAAAGAGCTTAGTGGAAGCAGCTTATGACTACTTGATGGCTCTAGTTAATAGAAGTTTAGTTATGGGTGTCGGACAAAGAACTCTGGGTGGTGCCAAAGCCTGTCTACTTCACGATTTGGTACATGAGTTTTGCGTGGAAAAAGCCAAAGAAGAAAGTTTTCTATATGTTATTCATAGTTGGAAAGCTCCTCTTAGTCTTACTGGGCCAAGCAACCCCCACCGAGTTTGTGTTTCCAATACCGGAGAATTGACAATTTGGGAGTTAATGCTTATTTTTCCCAATTTACGTTCTTTGATCTTGTTTGGAAATGTTCATATTGAACATGAAGAGGAGGATTTGGGTATTTTGTTACCTAAACTTGTCAGAGTGTTGGATTTTGGGAATTTGGGCTTTGGTAATTCTTTTCCGATGGAAGTAGTATTGCTTGTTCGCTTGAGATACCTGGCGCTCAAAGGAATAACAAACATCCCATCTGCGATAGCCAACCTCTCAAGGTTAGAAACTCTTATCGTAAAATATCCGGTTTTTGGTATTGAGCTGCCAAGTACTATTTGGAACATTAAGACATTGAGTCATCTGCGTGCTTTAAATTATCATGGAGTATGGCCAATGGGTTTTATTTTTCCAGTTGAAAATCTGGAAGTATCCCTAGATTTAGATTGTTTAGACACTTTAGACCTTGCAATTGATCCCTCCTCTCAAAGCTTGCAAAAGATACTGAGAAAGTTACCAAGCATTCGCAGGTTAAAATGTATGGAACGCTGGAACAGCTCAAGAGAAGCTACCAGAAATTGCAACGAGATTCTTGAATTTGACAGTTTGAGTCAACTGGAATCACTTCATTTGTTTCGTTTTCATGGATGTGGATTTAAATTCCCGTTGAATTTGAAAAAGTTGTCTCTCTCATATAATGGTCAGCCATGGAGTGAAATTTCAACAATTGGAAAGTTGCCTAATCTTGAAGTGCTGAAATTACTTGATCACTGCTTTGTTGGGGAAGAATGGGCAATGAAAGAAGGGGAGTTCCCTAAACTCCGAGTCTTAAAATTGTCAGAATTGGAATTTCGCAACTGGACTGCATTTTCTGATAATTTTTCCCGCCTTAAGAAATTGGTCTTGAGCTGGTGTGAGGAGCTGGAAAAGGTCCCTTCCTGTTTAGGGGAGTGTGAGACTCTTGAAATGATTGTGGTGAAAAGGTGTCGTGAGTCTGTTGTAGATTCTGTAAAGCAAATTCAACAAGAACAGATGGATATGGGCAATGAGGTTCTAAAGATCGAAATTAATAGTATGATACATCCATTTCCTCAGAAGAATAATCTACAGAAGCAGAGTCAACTCCCTCAGAAGCAGAGGAGATTTCTTCAGAAAGAGTGAATGTACAGTGGGATTCCACTCATCAGGTCAGATAAAACTATATTTGCATATGTTGAATCAGTTCAATTATATAATGATTCATGTTTCTCTCAACAGTTTACCACGGCAAACCATTCATGTCTCTTTTTCATCTGTTTATATGTTGAATCAGTCCAATGATATGTTAATTCGTGTGTATTTTGAAGCAATTTCTGGATTATTCTAAATTCTTTATTAGTTTAAACCTGATGCTGCTACATAACATTCTGATAAATTTCTGATTGCAGCAGGAAAAACATTAATGCACAATCTGTTTCTAAAATCTTCTTATTGTCATTTTCTGGGTCAGTGTTGAGTAATTTTTATGTAAGGATTTATAATCCCAATTTCCGAAATCTTCTTCCTTGTTGCTACATATTGATATGATACTCAAAAGGCAGCAGAGCAAAAGCATAACTTGATGTGATACTCGAAACCAGATACACTTATCTGTTCCCAAATTGTGTATGTAAATAAGAGTAATACAGAAAAGTGTAACTCGATTGATATGTTGAAACATACAATCACAGTTTTGCATACAAATATTAAGTGGAGACAAAAACCCCAAAAAAGAAAAAAAAAACTATGGTTGTGTTACTTTTCAACAGAGGAAGGGCATAGGACTTAATATGAGTTTTTCTTCACTACAATATGTTGAAATACAAACATTTTCATTCTTTACTAGGCAATATTTTCGGAAGTAAAAAAGGAAGTAATTTTCCTTAAACTTTTTTTTTTGTTTGGTTTCATGTTTTATTTTGCTATTTTAAGTGGTTAATTGCTCAAACTGATCAAAATGACAAATTAAAGAAACCAGATGACCTCTTCATGTTGGGTAATCTGTATACCTCTTCATTCAACTGATGTAGTACTGCAATTATTCCTTCTTCCAGAGTAGATTTCCTCGGAAGGAGAGTCCATTTCTTCTCATCATCACATTAGACAATGGTGAAGACTGAAGCATTTGTGTCTCTTCTTGACTTTGTGTGATCATTCCACTCATCAGGTCAGATATAATTGTATGTGTATGTTAATTCAGTTCAATGATAGATAATTACTGATCATGTCCCTTCTTTTTCATCTATTTACCTGTACCACAGGAGTAGAGTATTTTGACAAACACTCATTTTTACCGGACATAAAAGGCTTCTTTTTCAAGTAATGATGATCACTGAATGATAGTGCTAACAAAAAAGCTCTGGAGCCCTTTACTTTCCCTTAATCCTTCGCCAAAATGATTAGGTCCTTTGACATGCCTCCAAATTTCTTGCCTCAATGGGTAGAAGAATATTTGTTGTCAATGTGAAGCATGCTTGATCATGACCTTTTCTCATTGCCATTCAGAAATATGCATGAATGATCGTGTTCAAAGTACCCCAACGTATAAGTGATAGTACATCAATTGAATCCCGTAATTATGCTCTAGCCAGAAATAATTGAATGAACCAGAAGAAGACAAATAATAGAAAAGATAAAGAGGAAGAAAAGTACATTGTGATGGTCATTCTGGTTTGAACCAAACATTCAAGATATATCATTTAACAATGAGTTGCTACAATTACCTCTTCACCAAATCTATCTATGGTATTCTTATGTACAAAAACTGTTATTGGCCCTGTGGTGCAGCAAATACCTGATCTCCAGCAATTAAGACAGCAATATATGTGATGAGAACTAGTTTATTAACAATTGATCCTATGGTAAAGGTAATGCTTTCCACTACAGCTATGCTCCGAATGCTGGAGGAAAAATACAAAGAAGAGAACCCTTCTTAACTCATTTGCCCAAAAGCTGGCTTCTTTCACCATCAACCAGAAAGAAAACAAAACAAAACAAAAATGGTGTCTGACTAAGACCCTTGTTTACATGGAGTCTCATGTTCCCAACAGCTTGAACATACATTTTTCAGTTGATCTACACTCACCGCTATACTCCCACAAAATCCTCCTTTTCTTCTGCCTTTTCCGACATAAGAATACCACCTCATTGGTGTCCAGGGGAGTAAATTGTTCCTAGTCACAGAGTATATATACACTTGCTAAGAATCATCCATGTGCCCAAAGTAACGATTTCTGAATTGCAGATTCTCATGTTTTAGAAAGATAGCATACAGGAGCTCATTCCATGCATCTGGGACGCCAGGCAGACACCAATGGCTGCAGTCCTGCCTGTGGGGAGGCACAGGACCAACACTAGGATCCAAGTAATACAAAGATGAGTGCCCATCTTTTCTCCTCGCGGTCATATGAGTTATATTTAGTACTTCTACTGCTTCCGCATTTGACGAGTTCAAGTGAGCTGAAACTACATTGCTGAAAAGGTTATACATTTCCCAATTGTTCGACGGTACCAATGAAGAACCTAGCTCTGGAAGTGTCTCCAGGTGACAGTTTCCCCCGTTTCTCCAGTCTCCTCCTCTACAAAGCCACCATGTCATGTCAACAGCGACATTACGTAACAGTACGTAAGCATATATGGACATGACTGGAAAAGATTTATTTTAAACTCTTAAATCTTGCAACCTGAAAGCAGACCCCCTCAACACATAGAAAGCATAAGCAAGAATAATACAAAGGAGGAGAAAAACTAAAAATTTTGTTGGACGTTCAATGCAAATAGAGCAACCAATGCATAAATTTGGAATTCATGCTATAGAGCTCCTACTTTCCTTAGTTCTGCCAAGCAGCAATGTGGAGTATGAAATACAGTACTTACAATCTTCAATTGGCAGCACTTTGGCTCCAGTAAAATAAAACACCTGATTATGGCATGCAACCACACCAGGACAAACAAGTCAAACAATTTGCACAATAGATGGAATTGGAGCGATGATTTACTGCAATCAATTTTGTAACTTATATCTGAAACTAAATTGATTTTTTGATGAGGTCAAAATGGATACCTCATCCAACATTTCCCAAATTACCACCAACTGAAATTTGGAATGCAGGGTTCAAAGTGCCTAGGGGATCTTATGCTTGAACAAATAAGATGACATGCATTAAGACAGAGAGCAACATCCTATTACATGACAAATTCTCCTTGGGCCTGGGTGATAACTAAGAATCTCTGTCCTCTAAATCCATGACGGTTTCCTGCATGATGGACAATAGAATACAGAACAAAAGAAACACGAACAGGGTCCTCATTTGAAGGTAATAAGCAAAGAAGGAGCTAAGCTAAAATTCTAGATTAAGATAATTTGAGAAATCGAGGAATGAAAACAAAGACAGGAAAGCCTCAACAAGAAAATTACCAGATGGTAAAACTACAATTTACCTGAAATGGACAGGGGCATATGTGCGAAAGAAGACCTGCGTTTTGCTTGTATTTAATTCACGATCAACAAAATCTAGAACTGTCTGTAATGATCTCTTGTATGCAGTCTCAACTTCCATATCCATCGTTATTTCCAAACCTTCTTGAAAGTAACATCCCCTAACAAAGATGGTTTGAACTGAATTACTTTGTCATTGCAGGGGCAAGCACAGTCATGCATTCTATCAAGCTAATATTATCCATCATAATCTGTTTGTAAAACTAGCTGTTTGTAACTCTCTGTTTAAAGCACAGTCATGGTTTGATGTTTAATAGTGTTTACGATCCATCACAATCTGTTTGTAAAATATTCTCCAAGTTCTTTCCTGATTTTGATGTTTAATAGTTTTCATGATCCCAATTTTTCAAATATTCTTCAATCCTGCTACAGATTGAAATGATCCTTAAAACTAACTGTTTGTAGAATGTTCTCCATGTTCTTTTCTGATTTGATGTTTAATAGTGTTTATGATCCCAACTTTTGAAAGCTTCTTCATTGCTACTACGGATTGAAATTAATGATCAAATGATCCTTAAAACCAGCAGACAATTAACAAAGCATGTATGCGAGATTCACTTTTCTCTTCCTTTCATGTATTTCAGTAATACAAAAGATTTTGATTTGCTTCTGTTTTTCCTCAATAAAACTCTCATGCAACAATTACTTAGTATGGACCTAAAAAAAAGGGATCTAAATTGTGTTACTTTTCAATAGAGAAAGTGCATAGGAACTAAATGGTAAATTTTACATCAACATGATTATATTTTCATGTATAACAATATTTTGGCGAACACATCCAACAAAAGGAGGCTATTTAGTAGCCACTCGCATTTCTTTGCATTCTTTATCTTAGCAAAAGTCTAAAGGGTGTAACTTTTCTTAAACTTTTTTCTATGCTATTTCATCTTTTATTTTCTGATCAATGTGATTCATTGTTCAATGTTCAACCTGCTAAAAATGACAAATTAAAGAAGCTGGATGATATCTAATTGTAACATATTTAATACAAGAATATTTAGAAAATAGAGAAAATCATTAGCTGGCGATCATTTAAGACCAATATTAACGTTGATGAGGAAACCATTACATGAATTTTTTTTTTTTTTTTTTTGGGGGTTGCTATGACTTGTGAGGCTAAAAAGTACAGAATGCCAGGTGAAAGCTGACTTTAGCTTTCTTCTATCCAAATGATTGTAATCCAAAATTCCAAGTATCGTTTCCTCTGCTTTATTTTTCGACTTTCTTTCTTTGTTTGGGCCTTTGTTTCATTTGTGCTTTTCTGATTTTGGGCTTTGGCTTACTAGGTTTATTATTTCTTCTAGTTTTTTTTTTTATGTTTAAGTTTTTTTTTGTATTCTCTATATATTTGTTTCTGTGATTTATTTTTTTCCTTATTTTTCTTTTTTCCCCTTTCTTGGGTTCCCTAAAAGAAACCTACAAAATTGACAAAATAGAAAATTATATAAAAAAAAACTTATTAATTTACATACGCATGTATAGACACAGTTTACAAACTCATGGAGTCCTCATGGATAGACCACTATTCAAGCATCACAAAACATAATTAGTTCTTTTAATAGCCATTTAATTACTCGATCAAATCTCGTCCCAATGATCAAGAAAGGGTTCTTAGATTCTTTTTCATACCAAGTTCAAGGTTTGAATCATGTACCTGACAATTGGAGTTAAAAAGCAGTTCGAATTATGTACTTGATAGTAGAGAGTAAAATGCACGTGAGAAGGGATGGGAGGATTAAAAAAAAAATGGAAGAGTCTCCTCTTGTCTATATACAATAGTGTCCCTCTATGTGGCTTGTATAATTGACTAGACAGCAAAGGCAAGACTTCTAATGATCAAATCACTCTACGTTAACCTTTTAAGGTTTATTCCACTTGCACCTTTAAAGTTCTTTCTATTTTCACTTTGCTTAATCTTAGTTACAAAACTTTACATCTTATCTTTCAAAACAAATTCTAAATCTTACAAAGGGCTTAAAATTGAATGAAAAACCTTATATTCATCTTTTTTTTTGTCAAATATTCACCTAGTTAATACTGCTCTAAGCTGAACTAGGGCATGAGAGCACAATCTACTATTGTTAATGCCATGCATCCAAGGGGTGCTGAGCGGGGCTGTGTTTTGAAAGTTTTAATTCACAGTGTGTAAATATGGGTGTAAAACAGAGTTAGCCCCCTAATTTTCATAATTTTAGTTTATATATATATATATATATGATTTAGCCACCTTTGAATTATTTTTTTCTTCAAAAAAAGTTATTTATTATTTATTGTGCTAGTTATTTAACTTTTAAAAAAGTAAACATATAATCAATAATCCATAGGAAATTGACCCAATTTGATTACATTATAATAAATGATCCAATTCATAATTATCAATGGGTTAAAACAAAAGCAATTAATTTTTTGGCTAATATCCTTATACTATATAAGAATGAGTTTGCGTCAAAGAATGGTTTTGAATTTCAACCGTAAGAGTAGGGGCATTTTGGGATTGTAAGGTTGTTTTGAGTGCAGTTATAACGTTGGGTACTACTTAAGATAACATGTGTATTTTTATATTTACTGAAATGTTCTTGTGATTTGTTCAAAGGTTTGGGTATTTTGGGAATGTGTGATTATGTGGTTGTCTTTTTTACAATGGGTATAACCCATGATAGCTTCTTTATTGGTGTAATTACTTAAATGTTCTTATAGAGGCATTGATTGGCTTGTGTTAGTTAAATTATAAGTAGTATCAATTATTACCATTGCTTTACTATTATAACTTGAAGACATTCAAATGCCATTTTCATCTCAATTAAAGCATTTATTAAGGAATTTATGACTAAGCATCAGTTTCATCTTCATTTCTTCAAATGTCTTCTCCTTCACATTCTTCCGTTATGTTCCTTTCATCTTCCAGTAAATACTTATTTGTACTGCCATTGTACTTTAGATTTCAATATGGTTTTATGTTGAAACTATTCTTGGTGGTTTAGCTTGAGGTGAGCTTTTATTATTTTTTTATGGTATGATTTGCTTTGTAAAATCATAGTTTCTATTGTGAGCTAAATGCTTCTATTCTGAAAGTAGATACTCTGTTAGCGTAATTTAGTGTTAATATCATTGCTTCCCACAAATTTGGTTGCTGTGTACAATTTAAACAGTGTGATTTTGTTGGAATAGGTTTGAAGCAACTATGAGAAAAAATTTTTGCAGGGAGTATTTGAACAAGGTAAGCCAAAAAACTACTGCAATTGATGCATTATGGTGTGGTTTATACTGGAATTGATTTTTCTACTGCAATTGAATTGTTTGAATGGTGTGATTTCTTATCTAATTGTTTGCTTTGGTAATAAGGTGATTCATTTATGCAATTGATTTTGGTGATAGTTAGATTCCGAGTCATTTTGAATTGGTAGTTAATACTTTGTCCTAATGATTTGAGTTTGTATCAAAGTTTATTCTTTCATGTATTCGTTTGCATATTTGCTTAAGCTATTCATCAAAGTACTTGACTTGAATGTGGGTGATTGGAAGGTTGAAACCAATAAAGAATAACTACCAATAAGAATTGAAATTCCAAGTAAATCTATCTCCAATAATCAAACAAGTAGTTGGCTAAAGCCCTCTCCCCCTTAGTTGCAATTTTCGCACTGATGATCAAATTCTGAACGTTGGGATCATGTTGTCCCGTAGACCTTTAAGTACAATAGGAATTCTCCTAACGTTTGGGAACTTGGTGGAGCTCCTATTATTTTAGATTGTCTGTTTAAATTGTTAAATCATTGCCATGCACACAATTGTCTCATGATTATTTTTCTGTTCAGTTTTTTTTCTTAGTTTCCTGTTTGGAGATGAAAGTTTCTATAGATATTTAAACAACAATATAATTTATTCTTCTGCCTTTATGACTTCATAAGTGCATTTTTTATGTAACATTTGTTCAGGAAAAGAGTTTCCTGAAAATGATAAAATATGAAGACTCGTGCTTTATGTTGGTGCTAAACACGTTTTACATAAGGTTTCAAATTCTAGCTTCTTTAGTGTTGAACAATGAATTCCAAACTTTCTTTGTCGTATTTGATGATTATTTCTTTTTAAATTGTACTATTATTTCTTTGTTGGTAGTAGTAGCTTGCGAGCCTTGATTTTCGCCAGTATGATTTGATTCTATTCTTAGTATCATTTTGTTGTGTACAAGAATCAGGTCATACTATCCAATGTCATCTATTGTTAGGCACAAACACTTCTATGTATTATTTCTTCCTTTTAAAATACATTTTTTTCCTGCCTGGATAATCTTATGCTTCTCATTTCTAAGTTAGGGATATTCCTCTTCTCTTTGCTCAGGGTCTCAGGAAGTTGTAATAGTCAAGTTTCTTTGTTCATTGTTTGATTCATAATATCTTTTGCGAAAGTGAAGGTTTTGCTCTGGGAGAAGGCAGAGAATGATTTGGACAAATTAAAACTGAGATTTTAATGTAATAACATATCTAGTATAAATATACAATTTAGCCCAATTGATTAGACTCATTCTCACTCTTGCTGCATCAACTATAAGTATGGAACGAATATTTTCAATTATGAAGATAATCAAGATAGTTAAAAAACAAGATGGAAGATAATTTTTTAAATGATTGCCTAATTGTATACATAGAAAAGAAAGTTGTTGAAAAATTTAACACTGATTCAATCATAGATAAATTTACTTCTAAAAGGAATGTAAAACTCAATTTACTTTTAAGAAAAGCGGTTGAAATTTTGGTGTATGTTAACATAACTTTTATCTTTTTTTAATTAAAATATTTATATTTATTTTGCATATATATATTTTGCATAGGCGACATGTTGGAGCATCTTTTCATAATGTGCAACTTGGATGGTTTGTGATATTATAAGATATAAGAAAAGTTTATTTTTGTCTTATTTTTCATTTGACTATGTTGTATATTTATAAAATAAACATACCTTTATAATTAAAGTTAATATTTGATATTTTTAGAAGTCATATATTTAAATACATGGAAATTATTTTGAACATAGCATATTAAAATAATTTTTTAGAAAACTTCTTGGGCGCCTGAGAAAAAAATCTTGGCTCTGTCACTACATGTATCCC